GATAAGGGGGTGGGGATATGATCTGATGCTCTTCAAGTCTTTGAAGGGTTATATGCAAGAGGGATTAGGCCTGGCCTTGAAGGCCACCCGAATGAAGGGTGGAGGTTGCCACACAGCAGATTTGGTTAGGTGCAAGGACCCCCGAAACAGACTGGGCTGCCTTAGGAGAGAAGGAACCCCTGTCACTGGCACCTCAAAGCAGAGACTGGATGGTTACCTTGTTGTCAACAACTTCTCAGGGATTTTGTCAAATACCTGCCACCTCTATCCACTCCAGGGCTCACATAGCTGTCAGATGTGCTATGAGCCTGGGCTGGCTACAGGTCTGTGCTTCCAGTGGTCCTATGCCAGTTCATACCTGCTCTGTGTGTGTGTGTGTGTGTGTGTGTGTAGCTGGAAGGGAGAGGGTGTCAGGGAATGCCAAAGCTGGGAGCCTTGGAGAAAGGGCAGGCCTGGCCCCACCCTCTCCCTGTGCTGACATCACTCAGAGTCTGGGCCTGCAGAGGAAGCAGGCTCCACCCCCAGCTCTGAGACATGAGCCTGGTGGTTCCTGGGGCCTGGGCAGCATGGCAGCAGAGACCTGCTAGTTTCTAATTCTACCACAAGATGACACTAGACCCTGTCCACAGTTAACAGAGGGTAAGAGAAAATCATCCCTGGGAGCCCTGGAACTCCTCCACTTCTCCCCTCCTCCCCTCTCCCTCGACAGCAGGCTTGGCCTACCCGGTCCCTAGGGGTCTAAGGAATCCTCCAGACCCGGCCAGGCCCGGCCAGGCCCGGCCAGGCCCGGCATCTGCTCTTCCATTTGAGGCCCACTTACGACGAACTGAGATACAGCCCTGCCTGGCATTCGGGGAGCTGTTAGTCAGAAGGCTGGAGATGTTCAAGGCCTCCCAGAGTGAGCCTTGCACCCTGAGGAACATGTTTGGGAAGTGCCAGCCTGGGGAGGCTCTGTCCTGGGTCTCTACAGAAGAATGCAGTGCCAACAAAGACCATGGCCAAACCGAGCTGGAGTTGTTCTCGTCAGGCTTCGTGGTCTGTGGCTCTAAACCGTATCCTCCGCACTGGCCACTGGACCCTGGGCCACACTCCCAACTCGGAAATCTGCCCCGATGCCTTGGACCACAAGCAAGTTCTCTCTCCTCCCAGTGTGCACGTTCAAGTTGGCGTGTTCCTGTCGTCTGTGAGTCTGGCGCTCCCCACCCCCAGCCAATTTTTCCTGGACTGTAAGCTCTCTGAAGGCAGGGAGCCTCTCTGCATCTTTGCACCTATCTTCATTCCTTGCACTTAATGTTTGATGAATGAATGACTTCTCTGTGCTCTGCAGGAGGGAGCATTGGCTCACCCCTAGCCTCCTTTCCAGTACCCCAGAGATGGTCGAGGGAAGAGGGCAAGCAGGGAGCCAGATAGAGTGCAGTGGAGGGAATGCTGGCCTTGGAGCTTGCAGGCCTCGGGTCTTGGGTTGAAATCCCAGCTTTGCCACTTATGGCCTCTGGCCCATAATCAACTTGAACTTCATCTGTGAAGTGAGGGAGTCAGATGATGGAGCCAGATGATAGAGCCCTCCTCTGAGGGCCTTTCCAGCTCTAGCTCCATGAGCCTTTGCTTCTTTCCTACTTCCCAGCATAGTCATCAGGTTCCTCATCTGGAAAATGGATCCAATTGGTCTCTCCAAGCTTCACGCAGCAGGCAATGATGAATTCATGAAAGCTGCTTGACCGGAAGAGGCTGGAACCCACCCTCCTCACCCTTCTCTGCAGTCTTTGATGAGAAACAGTCTCTGGGAAAACCTGGTTTTGGTCACAGTAACACGAGGATTGCAGAATTCTCTCTGATTTAGGCCTATTTCCTAGCCCCCTTGGTCTGCAAGAAGGGAGGATGAGGAGTGTGGTGATGAATAACTGGAGTCCCCAGAATGAACCCTCCTCACTGGGCAACTTGGTTCCAATTTCTGCCAGAGCCAAGTGACATCAGAGCAACCTTCCTAAACAAAGCAAAGCTCTCATTGATGAAACGAGAGGATGTTTGTAAATGGCTTGGCACAATACCTGGCGCACAGTAGGTGCTTAGTAAGTGCTTGTTTCACATTCCCCGCCCCCCCCCCCATGCCACATCCACTAGATGAAACCTGGATTCCTTAACTTGATATTCAAGGCCTACTCTAGTCTGGCCTCCATTTCCTTTCCAGCCTTGTCCCCCACTATTCTAAAACACAAATCCTCCACTCTCAATGAGAGCAGGTAGGTAGACCATGACGTTGTTGCCTCCATGTCTTTACTCATGCTGTCTCCCAAACCGGGCAAGGCATTCCCTCTTCTTTTCTCTCCACTGATCTGAATTTGGCCCACCGTTCAATTCCAGGATGGCTAGATGTGCCCAAGGGCCATTCTGATTCTGAGATTCTGCCATCCTATGAGTTCAATAGTCAATAATTGCAAGGCCAGCTCAAGTCTTGCCTAGGCCAGGCCGATTTCCTTGGGATAAGAGCTCATACTTCAGCAACCCTATGAGATGGGTAGTGCAACCTTATTTTGTAGATTAGGGAACTGAGGCTCAATAACATCCCCTTTATCCATGAATGCATACACACACACACACACACGCACACACACATGCACGCACACACCCCATATTATAGCCAGTGGCCTCACACTCATACATATCATCTCTTTGGCTGGACAAGGTTCTCAACACCTGGAGCATCATATAAATCAACCCATTTCAGAGCCCTGGCCTCCAATTCTGATGCTAACATGGCTGTGCCCAGTGCCTCACAGCATCAAAGAAATTCTGGGGTGGCAGATTTGGCCTAGGCCATCCAGTGGCACTAAGGTGTCTCTTCTCAAGCCCAGGAGCCATCTTTCAGTCTGTTGGGAAGGTCTGTGTTGCCACATCAAAAGTGACCTTGAATGGCCACATGGACCATCCCTCTGCTTCCAGGCAGGTAAACCAAATAGCCTTTCTTTTTGGTCTATCCCAATGACTCATCCCTCTCACATCAGCATGTTTTTTTGTTTTGTTTTGTTTTGTTTTAAATCTCCCCAGTTTCCATCTGTCCTCTGAGAGACGGAAGGCTAACCCCTCAGTTCTGTCCAAGAACCAGAATGAACAAGAGGGGTTAATGAAATCTCACGTCTCTTTTCCTTAGGTCCTACTGTCTAATCCATCATCCCTCCTCTTCTCCACACCCTTCTTTCTTCATGTCTTTCTCAAAATGAGATGACCAAGAGCGGATCGTACACTTAAAAAGTACAAAACCAGCATAACATGTGGCCGGTTGAATGTGTAGGACCCTGGCCTCCAGTGTCATGAGACAGGAGTCTCATCTGTCATACTCAGCAGCTTAATGATATGCCTTCTCCACTCGGGATTCCATTTCCTTCTCTAGAATATAAGGGTGTTTGAGAGCATAAGCAGCAAAACACACTTCCTTTCACTCGAGAGGTGGACGGACACCACTGGGTCAGAATGTACCTTGTATACATTACTGTAAGAGGGGCTCCCCGTAGCAAGTATTTGTCCTTAAGTGTTTTTCTTTGTTACAAGACAAAGCCTGATTCTGATGGGGGAAGAGGGTGTGTGCAGAAATGACTGACGTAAAACCCAAAGGCACCAAAAACCCTACTTTAAAAAACCCAACAGGGATTGAACTAGCTGATCTCCCAAGATCCCTTTGAATTCTGACAACATTCTATAGGTCCTTGCTGGCTGTCCCACGTCACAGTCCTCTCCCTCTAACCCAACAGCCGTGTGAGGCCCTTGTTTTAATAAAGTCCTAGACAGTCACTACTAGCACCTTCAACATGTGGCCTGCTCTGAGCTAACAAATTCGAAGGCAGCACTTAGCACAGTAGGTCTTTCTTGATTGTCTGGCTCCGAGTGTGCCATTGCCATTCTTCCAGCCTTGCCTGGGAAACTTTCAGGTTTGGGTCCTTGGCATGACTAGTTGCCACCTTCTATTTTTACCCACTAGTGGCTTGGGTCTGAAGGTCCAATCCAGTACAGATTTGTTAAGCATCAGGGCACAGTCAAGGTCTCTGAAGAATTCTCTTCCTGGTTTCTAGGATGTTAAGCAACTAGGATTAAGGGTCATCTGCAGCCAGCTGGGCCTTAGGGTGCCACACTCTACGGATGCCAACAGCACTGCTGCTCTAGCAGCAGTGTAGAAACAAGGGAGCTTAGCCCTAAGGTAGCAAGAGCAATTCATTCAAATTGGAAGCTGCTAGCTGGAATAGAATGCAACTCAGGGATGTTCCCCCCAACACACACACACACACGCACGCACGCACGCACGCACGCACGCACGCACGCACGCACGCACCAGGGACAGCCTGAGCATCTCTCACAGTCTTTGTCAATCTCCTACTTCAAATGAATGTCTGTAAGCGATAATTTGGGGATGCTTTTTGTGTTGGGAATCTTTTTGGAAGCTTGCCTCAGGTGCAAAAACTGCTATCACAGCTCTGGCAATATCTCAAATGAATCCGCCAAGTTACTGGGAACATGAAAAGCCATGTGTGTCCCTGAGATAAATCCTGCTCCATCCATTCCTCGGGGCTGATGACTGCTTTGAAGATTGCTCCCAGGACCCCAAAGCCTTCTCCAATTGAGTTTCCTGGATGAGGGGGCACATCTCTATGGAAGCCAATGGTCCCGTCCTATCTGGTGTCCCTAGGAGAACTCGTCACGTTTGGAGCTCCCTGGACATTCTGATGTAACTGTGGATAGGGGTAAATCTGAGGGCAAGCCAAGGTACCTGTCAGGGAGGAAGCTAGGCAGTTCGGCCCGCCTCTGCCAGGGGGCACGTATTCATTTTTGCCATTTCAGGCCCTTGACACCTGAGATCCTCAGAGTCGGCAGCCTCAGCTCCAGGACCCTGGGACAGCTGAGGGTGTTCAACAGCAGCGTCACTAGGGATTGAGCAGTCCAGCAGGAAGGTCAGAGAAGGTTCAAGGCCCAGGTGGCCCAGCCCTGGGCTTGGTGGGGGGAGGGGAGACTGCTGCAGCAGGGCCTGTACGAGGGACACAGGTTGGGAGCGCTAACCGGAGTTTTTATTTTTATATCAAGACACCGTGTTTAAAATCTGTAGAAAGAACAAACTCCAGGGGTTTCCATTAGTGTTTTAAGAACTAATTTCTTTTTTTTCTTTTTCTTTTTTTTTTTTAAAAAGTCCTTTTGAAAGAGAAATGACACAAAAGAGACTCTGAAAAGAAAAAGGCGGCAAGCTCCTAACAGCAGTAGGCCAAGGGTGGGGAAGGGCAGCACTCGAGGGTGTACTTGGGTGGCCCGCGGCAGGCGGGTGGGCAGGCAGGCGAGTGGTTCAGGCCCTCAGTGTAGACTCCCAGGGCCTGGTACCAGGGCCAAAGCTGGCCCTGCTCCAAAGCAATCCCCTCCCAAAGGCCCCTGAGCAGGCCTAGGTGAGGACTGACCTGAACCATGCCAGGCACCTTGCATCCCCGTCCCCTTCCTCTTTCCAGCCCATGTCCTTCCTTGGGTCATGTTCTGCCTAAAGGGCCCTGCTCCCTGGTCTCTGGCTATGTGAGCAATGGGGGATTGGAGGGAAGGGGCCTTTCCTTCCCCTCTCTGCCTTTCCTGGGGAGAAGAAAGCACTTATTCAAAAATTAAAAAAAAAAAAGACCAAGCCAAACCCAAGCTTCAGAAGAGCCCCAGTGCGAGGGGCAGGGATCCCAAGTCTGGGGTTGGCTTGGGGTGGGTGGGAGGGGAAGGGCGGGGCCAAGGACTGGCCAGCACCAGAGAGAGGTGCCTGCTGCCTCCAGGGGGGTGCTGCCTCCCCCGGGACTGCTGGGGGCTTTCTTCTTTGAAGAATCCATTCATGTTTCATTCTGGGTATGCGTTTGTACATGGGGGTGTCTGCGCTTGTGCACGGGGATCTGATCTGTGCGTGTATCTGTGGGGTTGGGTGTATGGGTGTGCACAGATGGGGGCTGGGGGGAGGAGAAAGCAGGGCTGGGCAGGGCAAAGGCTCTAGGTAAGAGCTATACCCGTGTGGTGGAATGTGAGTGGGGCAACCCAGTACTGTTGAAGCCAGAAGCAAAGGTGTTATAGGGGTGCAGCGTCTGCAGCCCCACCAGGGAGTTGGGGATCATGGTGATGGTATTAGGGGTCATAAGGGGGATGTCATCGGGGGAACGTCGCAGCGTCAGGGTATAGTCAGGGAGGGCACTGAGGCGGAGTGGGTCGTGGGCGGGGGGGCCTTCACACTCATGATGCGAGGGACCCAGTTGGAGGGCTGCCAGCTCCTCCTCAGGGGCTGCTCCCATCTCCCCGGGACCCCCGGGACCCCGCTGGGGACTGGGCTGCCGCAGGGGCTCCTGCCGCCTCTTGTCCTTGCGGTAGTAGAGGGCAGCAAAGGCTAGCACGTTGAGAAACAGGAGGGAGGCCCCAACAGCAATGGTGACGCTCAGCTCCGTGGAGTAGTCTCGAGGGTTCTCCACTAGAAGGGGCCCGGCATCCTGGTCCCCATTCCAGGTGCCCTGGGCATTCTCATTGCTGTAGGCTGGAGAAATGGCTGGCCGCTTGGTGCTCCAGGCCTTGCCATTGGGGCGGCGGGTGATGTGGGAGCTGTGGGTGGTGTCCGGGGGCGGCACTTTGGTGGTGGTGGACGTGTAGTGGAACATGTCGTGCAGGTTGTACAGGTGGGGCACCAGGTGCTTCCAGAAGGCCACCTTGGTGGCCCGGTAGTGGTCACGGACCCGAGGTTTCAGCCCGATGTGAAGGTACAGCTGGTCCCGGGGGTTATACTTGGACCAAGCCACCTCCTCGAAGCGGTTGGCCTTGGTGTGGATGAATTTGGTGTCCTGGGGGACGGGCTTGTTGGGATCCCTGAAATACCGTATGGAAATCTGGGGTCATCACCCTGCCTTGGGGATGGTGGATGAAGAGGGCTTGGCAGCTTCCTAGGTTCCCCACTGGTTCCATCTCCTTTCAACACCCCTCGCTACATTCTCCTCAACTTCTTATTTCCCTAGGTCTTAGACTCCCGTTACCATTGGCCCTGTGGCTATCCTCTCCTTCCCCAAGCCCTGGATAGCCCTAGTCCCGCCTCACGTTCGAAGACGCTGGAGAGATGTTGCTTTGGTTTTCCCCGTGCGTGAATGTGACAGCACTGGGTCATGCCCTGGCGATCCCCAGATGTTCAGGAGCCCCTCATTCCTACTTAGCAAGGTCTCTAATCTCCTAGCCCTAGTCCTGCCAGGCCGCCCCCCAAGCCCTCTTGCATCCCCAAGTTAAAGTCCCCCCCCCCCCCCCAATCCCCACAAGAGTTTTCGTCAAAAAAGAAATGACCCAGTATGAGAGGGATGGATGGTAGGCAGGAGCGTAACTTGGGGGTAAAAGGAGATAAGTGATGGACGGGGTTTGGCTAGAGGGGAAGGCATGCTGGGATCCTAAGAGGCAGGGACCTGGACATCTCCTCACCCGGTCTTGGCAAAGTTGGTCCAGTAGGTCATGACAACAGCACTGAGCATGACGTCATTCTTGGAGAAGTTGCAGGGGAAGAGGTCAGTGGGGCCCACCATGGGGATGCCAAAGACATAGGGCACCTCATCCCCATGGGCTGCGTCAGACCAAGCTGGCTTCATGAGGCTCTGGCAGTGGTGGTAGAAGGCGTAGAAATAGGTGGGTGAGCCATAGCGGGCATGTAGGTCAGCCGTCACCACGGAGGGCTCTACCCATTGGTGGTCAGTGAAAAGGGCCACCAGAGTTTTGCGGCGGGTCTCAGGGTTGTCCCGGTCTGCCCAGTCTGTGTACATGAATTTGATGGTCTCCCGAAGGGTGTCCTTGCCCTCTGGATAGCCATACAGGTTGTCCACAAAGTTGGAGACTGAGTAGTCAAAGTCAGTACCTGAAACTCCATCCTCCGGGTCCACCACGGCCTCCACAAACTTGAGTCCCTCCCCCTGGTTGACACCAAGCATGATGTCATAGTTGAGGAACTCGCCCTGCTCCATGAGGATCTCGGGGTCATCGGGGATCACATCCCCATCGATCACAGGACCAAAGGCCACATGGTAACGAGCTGGCTGGATGTCCTGTTCCACCAACTCTTTGGCACTCTTCTGACGCAGGCAATCCACCATGTCCACGGTGTCCAGCACATTGCACCCCACCTTGTCCGCCAGCAAGCTCGTGTACTTAACTGGCTGGTAGTTCACTGCCCAACTGGACAGGGCTGAGCCACTCTGGATGATGGCCCTCTGGAACAGCCCTACAGGAGACAGGCAGCACCGGCTCAGAGCTTCCCAATGCGCCAGCCAGCCCAAACCACCAAGGCTTTACCCACTTCCTAGAGCCTCCTGGACAGAATGGCGGCCTGCCTAGAACTCCCTCCCTGACCCCAGTGTGCAGATGGCACCAGGTATCTCATACACTGTTATTAGATCTGTTCTGGGCCTTTCTGTGCTGGGGATTGGGGCACAGATCCGAAGGGCCTGCTCTCTCACCCAAGGAAGGCTGCCCTTGGCTGGGATTTCACTGCTCCAGAGCAGCCCCTCCTCTCTGTCTTCTAGTTTTCTTTGCCAAGGTCACATGACTAATGTGTCAGAGAAGGGACCTGAACTGAGGTCCTGACTCCTAAGCCACCGCTTCATCCGCTACGCCAGGCAGTGCTTGAGCACGCAACGAACACTTGCCCTTCTCGGGCCTCGTGTTTGTGTACTTTTCTCTCTTCTCCTCCGTCCTCTGGCTGTCTGTATCTCTATCTGACTGTGTCTCTGTCTCTGTCTTTGGCTGTCTGTGTCTCTGTGTTTGTATCTCTGTCTCTGTGTCTGTCTGTCTTGGTCTCTGTCTGTGTCTGTGTCTCTGGCTGTCTGTGTCTCTGTAGGTGTTTGTGTCTCTGGCTGTCTGTGTCTCTGTCTCTGTGTCTCTGGCTGGCTATGTCTGTCTCTGACTGTGTCTCTATTTGTCTGTCTCTGTGTCTGTCTGTCTTCGTCTCTGTCTGTGTCTGTGTCTATGGCTGGCTGTGTCTGTCTCTGTGTCTGTCTCTGGCTGTCTGTGTCTCTATCTGGCTGTGTCTTAGTCTCTGGCTGGCTGGCTGTGTCTCTGGTTGTCTCTGTCTCTCCGAACTGCCCCCCACCCTTGGCTTCCTTACTTGCTTCCTGCCCAGCTGGGCCCAGCTCTGTGCCAAAGCACCACCAGCTAGCTGGCTCTTGTACGACAAAGGGACCTTTCTCCTGAGAGACCAGAAACAGGGATTGGAAGAGAGGCCACACATAGTCTGTGAGGTTCCAGGAGAGCCTGGTAGGCCCAAGGCCCTGAGGCCACCAGCTCTCCAGCAAACATCATTACTAGGGCTCCAAGACCTCAGAGTTGTCCCTCACCAACTGCATCCTCACATCTTCTCATGCCCTTGTGCCTCAGAAGGAGGCTGATTCGCCCCTTCTCGGCAGGAGAGCGGGATGCCCCCACCCTGGCCCAGGACTTCCAAGAGAAAGGGATTCCCTAGCTGGGAAGCAGCAACCAGCCCTCAAACACGTATCACTTCCTCGCTGCAGATCCCATCCCAAAGACGTGTCTCGGGATATAAGCCACTGCCAGGGAGGCTGGAGAGAATGGAGGAGGAGGAGGCAGGAAGAGTCACAGGCCCCACCTCTGACTACTCCTCCTTAGCCAGATAGAGCCTGAAACATGGCCTCCCTTTTTGGAGACCCCTAGGGCATTCCTAAGGCTACAGGAGACCAGAGACCCTGAATTATGCCAGCCTGGGGAGGTTTGTGAACACAGTTGTGGGGGCCATGCCCTCTTTCCTATCTCAGGGAGTTTTCCTAGGGGAGACCAGCCTCCCAGAGACACTGGGTAATGCCCCCAAGCCAGAGAGAAAAGACTGCCCTCTCTCAGAAATAAGAGATTCTCACTAAAGGAACACAGAATGGCAAAGCTGGATGAGAGCTGAGAGCACCAGGCCAAGCTCCACAGGGCCAGGAGAGGAAACTGAGGCCCAGATCCATTTTACCACTCCAGCCTTCATCCTATAAGGGAAGCTGCTATTCTGTGATTTCCTAAGTGTAGGGGAACTCCTGGTATGGAAACTGCCCCCGCTGGTGCAGATCAGAAAGCCCAGGTCTTCCTGACACCAACCAAGACTGACCCTCTAACTACTGTACTATACTGCCCGAGGAAAGGAGAGGGAAAAGGAAAGGATAAAGACGAGAACTTTCCCCTCACAGTATTTCCCTGGCTCAAGAGAAGGTGGGCTCCAATGAGTCTTGCAGGAAACACTACATCCTACAAGGAGACTTCGGGTCACGTCAGCCATGAAGGAACTTTCCCCTTCAGAGAGAATGTTTCTTACATTTCAAAAGTAAGGCCCCCTCCACCCCAAGCGGAGACTTGGCCCCTCCAGAACAACACCTCCCGACCTCTAACAGAAAGAAGGAAGGGGCCTCTTCCCCACCCAGTGAGATGGATGCCTGTGGCAAAGGTCTTTTCCCTCGAAAGAAAGGCCTCTCTCTCGTTTGCCTGAGGGGTGGTGCAAACGTGTTCTCAGTGGGCACTCCGGAGTCTGGCAGTCCCAAGGGCTAAGGGGGCAGTCAGTCGAAGCCAGGCCCCTCCCCTGGATCCCCGCATATACCACAGCTCTGAGGAATTACTCACCCTCAGAGTGATGGGACAGCGTGAGGAGGCTGACACAGGAGGCCCCAATGCCAGAGCCAAAGACCGTGATGCGACGAGGATCTCCACCAAAGAAGGCAATGTTCTCGCTCACCCAACGCAGGGCCTGAATCTGGTCCAGCAGACCATAGTTTCCCTTGGCGGCCTGGTCCCCAGTGCTCAGGAAACCTAGGCCCAACGAAATGGGTGAGAAGAGTGGACGCTGTCGGCTGGGAGAGCTGGACAAGTACCATGTCTAGATCTCTTTGCCTCGCTGATGCCCAGATTGAGGCTCCCTTTCCTCAAGGATTGGCACCATTCTGGGAAAGCATGGGCTGGTATCTCCCACCTGAAATGTCTACCTCATATCAGGAGACCTGAGTGCCACCCTTCCCCTCCCCAAGCCCAGGGAGGGCATCAACGTCCAACCCTGCTCAGGGTAAAGGACTCGGAGACTCTTAAGGGCCCAAAGCCCCCAAGCTCCTTCTGCTAACAGTAGTAGAGGCCACCCCTCGGTGGCTTGCAGTCCCAGGAAGGGCTACTCCTTGGGGGCCTTCCCCGCCCCTCTCTCCTTTGCTCTCAGCAGAGCCCCCAAGAGGCCTACATGGTCCCAAGACCTTCCATTTCTCTGCTTCTACTATGGATCTCATTCTAAGGGATTTGGTTTAAACCCTCTTGGTCTGAAAGAGGAAGGAAAGTGGCACTGCTTTAGAAACGTTGCCATAGAAACAGGTCTTCCCGCCCACCTGCTGGGATTTGCTGCTGAGGAGGCATGTCACCATGGAGACCACCTTCCCACCCACCTGCTGGCTATCCCACAGAAAGGGCCTACCTATCCCACTCCCTGTCTCCCCTGCTACTGAGCATCTGGTCTTCCGTCTGAGAATTTCCTATCGGGTAACTGGAATGAACAGTGGGCGCCTCCCCCTGTCCCCAGCCTTGCCTCACAGAACAGGGCTGGGCTCATGCACACCACCCGGAACCCATATGAAGTGAGGCCGTGGTAGGAAGGTCCCTAGACCCCAAAGGATTCCTTAAGTCCCTGTATCCATGCCACAGCTAGAAAGTGAACCCGTTCTAAATGGGCCCAGGCAGCTACATGGAGGTCAGCCTGTCCTCTACAGATAGGCTGAGTTCAGCTCCAGGCTGGAGACAGGGAGAACAAGGGATTCTGGGAAACAGGAGAAAGATGAGGCAAGGCCAAAACAGGGCCCTTAGCCTCTGCCTTGTCCCCAGCTGGCTACACCCTTGGCTCCTCCAGTGCAAATCTCAGGGTGCTCCCGTCTCTCTCTCTCTTCCGGCCATCGTGCACTCCCTCTCATTTGGGCAGTAGCGGCCTTGGTTGGCGTCAGCCGGGATTGCCCTGATGAGTAAGGGGAGCTTGCCTCAGGATCTTGAAGGGCCCAGAACTAAGCCAGCGCTAAAGGCCTATAGATGGGAGGATTGCTGCCCTCTGGCTGATGCCCCGCTGGCTCCCATACAGCAGACAATTTCTTAGGGAGAGAGCTGGGAAGTACCATGAAGGAATGGTGGGAAGGCCCATCACAAGCTCTTGGGGCCACAAGCATCCAAAAACCTGCTGCTCAGTGCAGGGCCAGGGGCCACTCCACTAGGCTGGGCTACTCAGCATGCCAGGGATTGGGGCAGAATCAGCAAAGGGCTCGCTCAGAGAGGAGGACAAATGGCAAATGCTGTCTGCCTCTGTCATTCACAGAGCCAACTGCCCTGGCCCAAGGCTGCCAGCTGTGGGCAGGCATCCAGGGAGGGGAGAATGTTAAACTCTGAGGTTCTGAACAAAAGCCCCTCAGGGTGCCCTTCTCTCAGTCTTACAGACACTCATGCCCTCTGTCTGCCTTCTGGAGTCCCCAGATTATTTGGGGAGCTGTAAGCTGTTTTCACTTCACCCTCTCCATGCCCCCTCGCTATGTCCAAGGCCTGAGGAGACCAAGAAACAGCCCAGAGCGAATCTTTTGCCCAGGCTCAGTGCTCCCTGCCCACCTCCTCCAGTACCAGAGACGCTACCTGACTGTTGGCTTAGTGGGATCAATGTACTGGCCGGGGCTAGAGGGATGAGGGGGTGCAGGGAGCAAGGTTTGGCCTGGACACAGGCAAAGACTTCCTAACGGGTCGAGCTGTTCCTCAGTGGGCCAGGCCGGAGGACCCCTTGTTCCAGTGCTGCTGGCTTGGATGGCCCTGAGGTTCCAAAGATCCTGGCCACGCTCTTCCCATATTCAGGCTCAAACCACAGCAGGGACTGAAGGGGACAGAGTAGGTGGCGGTGGCGGCGGCGGCGGCGGTGGCGGCGGCAGCAGGGGGAGCCTCTGGCTGTGGGCCCAGATCCAGCCCTTGGCCTGATTTCCTCCAGTCCTCAGGGAAAGATTGTTTCTGGTTACAGCTGATACAGAAACTTCTCCCCCTAGTGGGTTGATCAGACTATCCCACTTGAGAAAGGAGCCTCTGAACCAGTGTGACAGGAATCCACAGAACTGTTTCTACCAAAGGCCTTGACTTGGCAAAAGCAATGCCTTCTGAAAAACCAATTTGGCCTGTGCCCTGTGGCCTACTCCTTCAACCACGCTCTCATGGTACCTCCTCAGTACAGAGAAAGTGCTCTAAGCAATGGAGGGGAAGAGGCGGCATTTCCAAGGGCAGCGCTAAATGGGCAGCGGAGCGGACCTCAGACACGTACATTTCAGTCTTTGTCCTTTCCTCATTCCTGCTCCCTCCTGCTTTCTCTTTCCTCAATTTCCTAAGCTGGAAAAAGGAGGGAGAAGAATAGACCAGACGATCCCTAAGGTCCATTCCAACGGGAGGCCTAGGCTTCTGGGACCCTCAAGGTCCTGCCTGGTTCTAACACTTGGATCCTCCCACTTTCCTTTCCCTCCTCATCTCCTTCCTGTCTCCTTTCTTCCCCAACTCAACTGGCTATACTATAATATGACATGGGGTTGAAGTCTGAGGCGTTTTTTCCACTTCCCAAGAAGGCCTTCACTAAATGTGCTGCTGATTCAAATGTAAAAGCCAGAAGGTTGGTGCTTTCCATTTTCTCAGGAAGAAGTGAAGCCATGAGAGATAAGTGAGGCTTCCCTAGGGTTTTTCCAATGGGGCCAGGAGCCCCCCAGCCTGCTCAGCGATACCACAGGCCTCTCGCTGACCCAGGAGGGCCCTTGGGTCATCCCAACTGAACCAAGAGCTCGTACCACAGGCCCAGGGACATGTGCACCAGAGTCACACACAGGCCTGGGACTGGCAAAGTAGCAAACCAGGAGCTGAAATGAACAAAGGTGCAGGAGGCAGGCCCAGCCCTAGAGAATTGGCACCTGACCTCTGAGGAGGCCCAGGGAGCGAGCCCTCAGAGGCCAGAAGCTCCCACAACTAGGCTCCTGAGGGTCCCGAGGGGCTGCGTGGTTATGCTCAGATACTATCTGCCTTGGTCACCACCAGGGGTGAGAGAGAGAGAAGCAATGCAGCCCAGGCGGCAGAGGAATGAATGAGCAAACAGAAGGAATGCACAGAGTGAAATCCCAGAAGGGAGCAACCTTTGGGGAAGGGAGTCTTGAGAGGGCAGGACTTGGGAGCTCCAAGGTTCCTGCCAGCTCTAAGCTACCAGACTCGGCAACTGGGACCAGAGAAGGGGGTAGAAAGTTGGCGCCAAGTTTCCTGTGGTCACCAAGGCCCAGAGGAACTGCTTCTCCTGTGCCACAGCGCAGCTCAGCCTGGCCCAGTCATGGCAAGGTTGATGGTACCGCTGAAGGCAGCTTCCCGCCCTGGCCCACCAGCTTGGCCCACTAAGCATTCATCCTGGCCTGCCATTTCCCCAGCCATACCTAGCACCCCAACCCGGTAGTTGAGGGTGATGACGATCACATTGCCATAGCTGGCGAGGACGCTGCCATCGATCATGTTGCCCGTACCCTCCATGTAGGAGCCCCCATGGATGTAGACCATGACTGGCTTGGCTCCACTGTCCCGGATGTCTGCAAGGAGAAGAGGTGAGACAGAGGCTGGGGGGGTGTAGCCTTCCACTCACCCCCCGCCCCAGCCCACCATCCCAGGAGAGGCTGGGCAGGGAGAAGGCGGCCAAGCGATCCCAGGTGCCAGGACACCATCGCCATCCCGAGGGCAGCCAGAGAGACAGAGACAGCTGGACTCTGGTCTCAGTGGTTTTATGGAAAGGGAAATGAGGTTCCCCAAGGGCTTACTTAGTACGTTCTTGTTGAGGGCTAAAAGCAGGCGTCATGCCTGACACCACTAGGCATGGATGTGCCACAGTGGCCTAGGGGAGCGGGTTAGGGTTAGACCCTCCCCCATGATGGAGTCCATGCCCTGGGCACCCAAGAGTCCTGGGACCTGACACGGCTTTAGGGAGAGTCTGGAGAGCCTTGCAACTCCCGAGAGCAGACCAGTCACATGGAAACACGGCTGTAGCAGCTGAGGCTGCTGTGCAGACAGAGACAAGTGGGGGAGCACAAGGGGAAAAGAAAGGGGACTGAGGGGACTGGGGTGGGGGGAGCCCTCTGCGCCTGTGCTCACGCCCTGGAGAGTCACCACTGCAGCTGACTGTGGGCCGACCGAAAAGGTCCAGGGGGTGGGACCAAGGGGGGAACATCCTTCCCCCAACCCAGCTGAGGCGATGCCAACACCCATGCCAATGCTGACCAGCCATCTCCTTCTCTGTGGCCATCCCCTTGGCAAGCAGGGGCACACCACTGCTGCCCTGTGCCCGGGGAGGATCCTTGGGGGACAGGGGAGGCTCTGACTGACGACTGGGAGGGGTCAAGGTAGGGCACTCACTCACCCCGGACGGGGAGACAGAACGCCCGACCGACGGCTGGGTAGAGCGCGTCACAGAGGGAAATCTGGCCTGAGGACCAGGGATCTCGTGTCTCCCATCCCCACCCCCGCCTGATGCTTAGCTAGCTGGGTTTCCGACTCTGTCTGGTCCATCTCCACGCCAACCTCCTCCCTGGCACGGGGAGGATTGGGGGCAGCTCTCTTGGTTAGGCCCATCTCCAGAGCTTGGGTATTCTTCAGGGCTGTCCCCACTAACCTAGAGCCCTCACGGGCCATCTCCTGCTGCTGGTGGCCCAGCCCCGCCCAGCTCAGTACATGGCCAGGCTCAGGTTCTGGGCTGGTTTCCCTAGAGCCCCTGGTCTTAGGGCAACATTCATTTCACCAGTCTTTCCCCATATTCATGTCTCCACTCCTGCCATTTCTCCTGTGGTTCTTCAGAGGTGGGGAGTGCCCAGCCATCCCTGTCCTCAGGGGGGCTGGTGCCCATCTGAAAGCATCCCATGAATAGTGTGTGTTTGGGGAATCTATCCCCTTCAGCACGTTGGGCACTCAGAGGGCTCTGCTCTTGGTCCCTGCTCCAATCAGCTGCTCCCACTAGCCAGGAGTGGGGCCCCCCACCCTGGCCCAGCTCTAAGCCCCTGACGGCCACCCGGGGCCCCTGACGGTGATGGACGAACAGACCAACCGCCTTGTTGCAGGAACAGAAACACCCCGACGGACGGACGGACGGACGGACAGACAGACAGACAGCCGGGGCTTCTCCCCGGCCAGAGGGGGAAGGGCTCTGTGCCATGCACCAGCCTCCGCGCCCTGCAGCCCCCAAATACCTTCGTCTTCGTCCCCTTCATTATCCGCTAAGTCCTCGCCCTGTTTCTTAGCACCGGATCCTGGGGACCAGACACGCACGGGGAGACATAACAGAACAGAACAGAGAACAAAACAGAGAGAGAATTCAAACACAGCACGAGCACCGTGTGGCCCAGCTGGCCAGCTCCGGACTGGGCCCGGGCCGGCAGGAGGGAAGGTGGTCACTGGGGAAGTGGGGAAACTGAGGCCTGATGCTCTGGTGGGGGGGGGGGGGGGGCCCGGGCCCGGGTCTAGTCCCCTCCTCTGCCCTTGGGCACCTCCCTGCCCAGCCCCCTCCTCCCATCTCAAAGCCTTAGCGGGGGGGGGGGCACGATGTGTACTGGCCCGGGGACGTTGAGACAAGAGGCCTGGGCCTGGGAGCCGGGCACACAGGGTGAGAGGTGGTATGGGGAGACCAGTGTGAAACGCCAAGGGCTCGTCCCTGCCCAACAGAGACAGGTTTGTTTCACTTGGCCCCATGACCAAGCCCTCCCTAAGAGACCACACCCCTCCCCGGGACCTAGGGGAGCCCACTCCTGGGGGAGGCAGGGTTTATCCCAGGTGATCCCGAGGGTCCCTGGGGCAGGGAGCAAGTCTGGCCCGGAGCTTTCCCTCTGTCCCTGCTGTCTGGGCAGGGAGGCCCCTCTGGCCACAGGGCTTCCTCAAGAAAGAACACCCTGAGGGACTCCTGGCCAGGGCGTGGGGGATGGGGAGGACAAATTCCCAGGAAGCCTATTTAATGTGGAAGAACAGAGGGAATTCTGGGGGCTTCCTCTCTTGTTGGCATGACATGGCTCTCTCTTCCTCGACTGTCCTGGACTCTGGTGCCTTGACTTTCCCTGTGGCTGCTACTCAGAACAATACCTGGACAAGAGGGCCAAGCCTAGAGGGAAGCACCACCTTGGGCTCCCCTAATTGCCCATCCCTACAGCACTGACCCCGAAATCCAATGGGAAAAGGCCAAAAGCCCCCAACCAGAGCATCATCTGGCCAAGAGAAAGTGTCAGTCATGGGGCTCAGAGAGCCCATGCCATCTCAGAATATGGATCCCTTCCGAACTAAGTGCAGAGGGCTCCCCGGACAGCCTTTCCCAACTCAGGCAAGCCCCCCCCGCCAAGCTGAACCCCATCACAGCTACTCCTGCATGCCTCCATTCTCCTACTCAAAGACCCTGGCCAAGTCTCAGCATGGTGCTCGCCATGCAGGGAAGCCCCTCACTGCACTAGCTGCTGTTGCGGCCCAGCCCCGCCAGGCTCTGCCAGAGCCCAGGCCCTGGCAGGCTGCCACCATGGGCCCAAACAGCAGGGACAGAGGGACCTCCTCGTGCCAGGCTTCCTCCGAGGGACGGGCTCCCCCAGAAGTCGGACTATTACTGCTTTGAAAGTGATCTCTTCCCCTTCTCAAATTGGCTTCCCTCTATGTCTCACAGGGAACATCCTTGCAAGGAGAGCAAAGCCCTCGCTGAACCCTAGTGCACGAGCAAAACAAAACCTAGCACATCAGTGCCCGGAGCCCCCTTCACCCTAACCCTGAATTCTTCCTCTCCATCAATGCGCAGGTTGGGCTGGAAACTCCTTGAGGGAAGGGCCTGGTTGCTGGCCTTGTATCCCCGGCACCTAGACAGGACTTTGTATGTAGCAGGGGACCAATGGCAGGTGTTTCCTGGGGTCAAAATGCTCCCAAAGGGCTTCAGGCATAGTCCAGAGAAGCCTTGACCTGAGGAAAGCCCAATTTCCAGAGTCTGGAAATTGAGGGGTAGGGTCAGGACAGCTCCGGGATCAGCACTGGGCCCCTTTAAGAGTCCTAACTTCCCGGGCTGGCCAAGACCCGTCTGACCTACGTAGGCTTTTGCCGCTGCTCCCACTGCTGCCCAAGAAAGGAATCCATTTTCCTCTTCCCTAAATGGGGCTACATAGGAAGGATTCAGCTACCAAGCTCAGCAGAGGAGGTCAAGGGGGAAGAGGACAGGCGCATGATCTGAGAAGACACAGAAGCTCTAAGAGCTCTGGGAAGTCAAAGGGCGAGCTGGCTAGGAGGGCCACTGACAGACTCAGAGTTAGGAAAGACCTTCGAGGCCACTGAATCGAACACCCTCATATTCTAAGAGATGAGGATACTGAGGCCCAGAGAGGTCAAGGGACTTGCCCCATGTCACACAGTAAGTAAGGGGCAGGGCCCGAGGTAGCCCTGAGGTCCAGCCCTCATTCCTGTGTACCACGCCAGGGACTCCAGAATGCTCACTGTATACATAGATTAGATATGTCTAGGACATATATTCTAGATCAGGAAAGGGGCCAGGAAGCCCCTCCTCTAGGCATTTAGGCATCGCATTTCTACTGAGTGCCCCTCCAGAGGGGAGATCAGCAAAAGGGAGATAGTGCTACCTCATCCTCAGGGGAAATCAAGTTGCCTGCTCACGGAAAGGCAGAGGAAAGGCAGAACTGAGAGGGAGTCCCCAGGTTCGGGAGCAAGCCCTTATCCTTCTCCAGGCCTCAGTTTCCTCCTCTGGGACTCCATGATCTTTAAGGCCCATTTCTGCTGTCAATCCCACAAGTCTAGTGCATCTCTGTGTACCTCCCAGCTGGTCCTGAGCTCTCTAACTGGCCCACCTGCAGGCCGCCCTCAAAGCTGCCTGGCAGGGAGAGAGGAAATGAGGAGGGAAGGAGGGAGGGAGGGAGGGAGGGAGGGAGGGGAGGGAGGGAGGGGGGGCCAATGGGGGCCGGAAGGCCCCAAAGAACAAAATCGACGTGGTGTCGTGGAAAGAGCACTGCCCTCAGGCCACTGGCCTGGCAACCAGAAGACCTGGGTTCTCAGCTGGGCTCCGCCACTTCTGTGCTGTGTGACAAGGTGAGTCACAGAAGCTCTCTGTGCCTTCCCTTCCTCATTTGTAAGTGGGGATGTTACCACCCACCTGACCTCATTTGGAGAGGCTGTGAGGAGCCAATTGAATGATGGGGGGGGGGGGAGGGGAGGACTTTGGAAAGGAAGAGGAGAAATTGAAGTGACGCGTTCTTGGGGCAAAGCTTGCCCCCTCCTCACTGATCCCAACACCCACAGCTGCCTGCCAGACTTGGCTGGGGCTGGGGGGGCCGCCATCAGCACCATTGGGGGGGCGGGGCAGGAGCACAGCAGGACGGAGCTTCTGGCTCCATCTCTCACCCAGCCGGGAAGCCAAAGCTGCTGCAGGCAGCTGGGTGGGGATGTGCAGGAAGCAGGGCTTCTCCTCTCTACCTGCCAGTCCCTCATCAGGCCCCCCAAAGAGCCTCTCCCCAAGAGGCCCTCAGCCCCCAGGAAAGGTGAGGTGGGCAGGAGAGGGCAGGGCAAGGCGGGGAAGCTCACTTCCCCTCGAAGCCTGGGCCAGGCAGCTTGAAGGCCGGGTCCTCAGGGGCAAGGGCGGGCAGGCAGGCAGCCAGTCCTCCCCATCTCTCTCTCTCTCCCTCCCGGCCGGCTCGCTACCTACCTCCTTTCCTACAAATTTTCTTGTTGGGTTTTCGGGCGCATTCCTTGGAAATCCGCTTTACTGTAAAATGAATAAAAAACTAAAAAATAACAGGAGGCCTCAGGCCAGGGGCATGCACCCTCCACCCCCCCCCCCAGGAGCCTCTTGGTAGGCGGGCACACGGTGGCGAGCCTGTCCCGCCATCTCCTTGGCACTGCCACTTACCTGAGGGTGACCCCGTGAACGGGGTGGGGGGGGGGAATCAGTTAGTCAGAGGACATACATAAGCGCTGCCTGCAGGGCCTGCCCCCCTCCCCACGAATACCCTGCTCCCCCAACTGCCTCCACCCAGTGCCTCTCAGGGCAAGTGGGTGGAGGGGGGGGGGCCTGGTTGAGCCAGCATATTCCTGAGGGCAGCCGTCAGCAGTGACCCACACTTCCCTGATGCCCCCAGTGCAGCTCTGGAGCCCAGCTCGGTCACTGCTCCTAGGCCCTGGCCGGCCTCCTCCTGGGCCCAGTCACTCTCACACACGGGAGCTAGGCCAATGCCAAGGGAGGAGGGAGGAGCCAGGGGAGGAAGACTGATGGAGGGAAGGAGGAGAGAGGGAAGAGAGGAGTGGGGCCCAAGCAGTGATGGTGAGAAGCATCCGCACAGACAGCTAGCTAGTTACATGCTGCAGGGCACACACAAGCATGCTCGCCTCTAACACAAAAGGGCAGGCGCCCGGGCAGCAGGGGGGGAGGGGGAGGAAGAGGAGGAAGAGGAGGAAGAGGAGGGGGAGAGGGAGAAAGTGG